TTGTAAAACAGCAACCTAGAGTCTCATGATTCTTTCCCCCCCCGCCCCCCCCCCGGCCCCCAATCTCAAGCTAAAAGAGGAGAGAGAGAGAAGCAGGCTGGGTAGTTTTCTGGTGCAATTTCAGCCTGAGGGGAGCTTCAGAAAAAAAGCAAGCTACTCCCTCAAATATTGAAAAAAAATTACGATTCATTTTTAAAAATCCAACGGCCTCACTAAAAAATGGTTCTTACATAGCTCTACTAGAGGTGCTAAAACACCCGAATTTTTCCAATGTTGATTTTAGCCTCAAAAGCGGAAAAGAAAAGTTTCCAATAGTCCAAGGTGGAAACAGTATTAAGTGGTATCACTTACAAACGAATACACTTTCTACATAGCCTGTAGTCTCCATGGGACAAAATAGATCAACTGGAAGTGTTACCGTTCGGGCATTATGTAACCTTAATTTAAAATAATATAGGAGCCTTAAAGAATAATGCATTGTGAAAACCTGTATTTAAACACGTATTTAAATATACGTCATTAAGACATAGATGACCTCAAAATGACACAACCCATGAAAGTTCCTTCTTGCAGCAATAAGGGCCTCTGAAGACATAACTATAACCAGGCCGAGTAGCTTATCATAGCTGCACAGCAGAAGCGTAAAATAAGCAGTCCATTAGTTTATTTTAGTCCAAAAGCCCCTTGTTTTTCCAGTGTACCGAAACTATCTCTCCACTGGTAACGGTGGATTATCTCGCCTGATCCACTCGACTGATAGAAGTTTCCGAAAGATATGAAAGATTACAGAAGAAATGGCTGCTAAATCACACTCCGGGTGAAAAGCATTTTAACGCAACCCAAATGTTGTCAAGTGTATTACAAGGAACCCCACCCAGGAAGCATAAAGTAAAATCCCAAGAATTTCCAAAGGCGCAGGAAAAGAGTTAAAGGACCGCTAGACTGACCTTAACACGCTGCTTTTTTAAGTACTGCGGAGAATTTTCGGAGGCTTGCCGGCAGTCAGCTCCGCTCCGCTCCGCTCGGCCCCCTCCCCACCTACACAAACGCACGCCCCCAGCTGAGGGAAGTTGAATGAATGTTATCTCGAGCTGCTATCTCAGGAGCTGGTAGATAGAGAATAAACTCAAGTGTTCAAAACCCAGAAATCCACCCCCAACCAATGCACACGCTGTCACGCACATCGGATCCTTCCATCCACTCCCTCCAAAGGAGCCCGGCAGGCACAGAGGACCTCTCCGATTCTGGCTCCAAATCAATGTACATGGGCTGGGCCAGCACGCGGTGAACCTCGGACGCCCCCGCAGCCGCGTGTGTCGCCCCACGGCCACTTCGGCCACACAACTGAACCTCGTGGCTCGGAAGTGGCCGCCGGAGTTGCAGAAAGCCTGGTCCCCGGGAAGTCCCGGGAGCCACCCCGGAGGTGTCAGCGGCGCGGCCGCCGCGGCTCTCCATTCACGCTTCGGCGCCACTCGCGCCGCAGAGGGCGGCGTCCGAGCC